TGAATTTGAATGGGCAAGGTTGAGCGTGGGCAGGGGGTTATTACCCTAAAATTTCAGCCTCCTAGACCTCTTGGTTCCCGAGATATTAACTGACCCGTAAAAAACTTTCACGGGCCATACGTGTTTCCCGCCGGTACGGGGAAGCTAAATTTAAATTTGCGGGGTCACACGTGGGTGGGAGACGCTCCCCTAAATTTTCAGCTTCCTAGTTTTTGTGGTTCCCGAGTTGAAAGTTGCGGACAAGTTGCTACGGACAACACACACAAACATACACAGACAAAACCCGTAACAATATGCGTTTAAAACGCATAAAAACTGCATGTCCCAACCGTGCTTCTTTGTGAGCGTCACTTAACGAATTCGCCAAATGAGACAGGGAATAATCCTTCAATTTCACCGAAAACCCGTAAAGTCCAAAACAGCTCCAAATATTTCCGATTATGAAAGTCGTTGTTTTGCGGGATGGGCAAATTCGCAGAAGCTCAAAATTAGCTATGAAAAATGCAAAAATCTCATCTATGAAAACAGGAAATGGCTTAAAACTTCGCAAAATTTACTGTTTGCTGGAAAATGAAACCAAAGTCCCGGAAAACCCGACAATCGCTAAATTTTTGCTAACAAATTCTCACATTTACAAACTGTAGCAGTTGAATACTTACCCTGTGGTCGGCTGCACGGAAGTTTGCGTCGGTGCTGGGTACTGTCCCGTGAACGCAGATATGCCGTAATTGCCGACAGGGTGCACGAAGAACACTCCATCCGACTCCATTTGAGCACTAGGTAACATCACCGCGCCCCCTCCTTACTACAGAACAATCATGAACTGCACTTCCGAAAACGGGCGCCCGGATGGACAAATGGTGCGAACACATAATAGAGCAGCGAGGAACAGCGAAGATGCACGGTTCTGGGTCAAATCGAGCCTGAAGCCGTGCAGCCCCAACAACACAGCAAGTCTCCACAACTGCCCAGGCAATCCTGGTAAACTTCTGTACCAGCACGCTTTTGAGGCGATTACAAAAACTCGGCTCGGCTCGGCCGACGTCATGCACAATCCGCAAAAATTTTTTATTCCGACGGCTGGTAAGCCTGCCCCACGGGCATAGCAGCACTTTGAATACAGCACATCGGAAGAGCGGTGGTGTGTTGCGGGTTTCGTTCGAGGTAAAGGGAGGGGGCTGGGATAGAATTTAATGACTAAATGGCGTAGATCCTTTGTCAATTGACTAAATGACGTACACTTGGACAGGAGACGGAAGGGGGAGGGGAGGGGGAGGGAGGGGAAGAGAGCGGTAATGAATGAAAAGGATGAAGAAGTATGCTCCTGGTTTTTGCCGCGGAATACATGGGGCAGGGAATGGGCTCAAATAGAGTGCTCTTATAGTGGGGATGAAGTGGAGCTCAGATGTTGGTTTGCAGGCAAGATTTGAGAACAGAGTAAAGAAAGGGAACGAGCATACAAGTCAGGAGCTTAAGGCAAAAACTGCAGACAGCAGTGAAGAGAAAGAGAAGATAACGCACTACAAAAAAAAAAAATTAAAGCAAATCTGGGCGCAGAAATAAAAGCAAAATCAAAAAAAAAATTGGCCAACGCACGGGCTGCCCGTGCGC